TTGTTGAGTTTGGGTGGCAGCGACTGTGTTTTACCTGTTTGAATTTGTCCTGGGTGGCATCGCTGTGTGGTTACCTTGTTGAGTTTGTCTGGGTGACAGCGACTGTGTATTACCTTGTTGAGTTTGTCTGGGGTGGCAGCGACTGTGTGTTACCTTGTTGAGTTTGTCTGGGGTGGCAGCGACTGTGTGTTACCTTGTTGAGTTTGTCTGGGGTGACAGCGACTGTGTGTTACCCCACCCCCTTGTTGGAGTTGTCTGGTGTGACAGCGACTGTATTACCTTGTTGAGTTTTGTCTGGGTGTGACAGCGACTGTGTGTTACCCTGGAGTTTTTTGGGTGACAGCGACTGTGTGTTACCATTGTTTGTAGTTGTCTGGGGGTAGCAGCTACTGTGTTTTACCTTTTTTAGTTTTGTCTGGGGGTGACAAGCGACTGGTGTTGTGACCTTGTTGATTTTGGGGTGACACGACTGTGTGTTACCTTGTTGAGTTTGTCTGGGGTGACAGCGACTGTGTGTTACCTTGTTGAGTTTGTCTGGTGTTGCAGCGACTGTGTGTTACCTTGTTGAGTTTGGGGTGACAGCGACTGTGTGTTACCTTGTTGAGTTTGTCTTGGTGTGGCAGCGACTGTGTGTTACCTTGTTGAGTTTGTCTGGGGGTGGCAGCGCCGTATACCTTGTTGAGTTTGTCTGGGGGTGGCAGCGACTGTATTACCTTGTTGAGTTTGTCTGGGGTGGCAGCGACTGTATTACCTTGTTGAGTTTGTCTGGGGTGGCAGCGACTGTATTACCGTTGTTGAGTTTTGTCCTTGGGTGGCAGCGACTGGATGTACCTTGTTTTAGTTTGTCGGAGTGGGGCAGGCAGCGACCGTTGTGTTTACCTGTTGAGTTTGTCTGGGGGTGGCAGCGACTGTGTGTTACCTTGTTGAGTTTGTCTGGGGTGGCAGCGACTGTGTGTTACCCCATACCTGGTTTGAGTTTGTCTTGGTGGTGGGCAGCGACTGTGGTGTTACCTTGTTGATTTTGGTCTGGGGTGACAGCGACTGTGTGTTACGTGTTGAGTTTTGTCTGGGGTGGCAGGCGACTGTGTGGTTACCTTGTTTGAGTTTGTCTGGAGTGCAGCGACTGTGTGTTACCTTGTTGAGTTTGTCTGGGGTGACAGCGACTGTGTGTTACCTTGTTGAGTTTGTCTGTGGGTGCAGCGCTGTGTATTACCTACCTTTTGAGTTGGGGTGGCAGCGACTGTGTATTACCCTTGTTTATTTGGTCGGTTGGACCGCGACTGTGTGTTACCTTGTTGAGTTTGGGGTGACAGCGACTGTGTGTTACCTTGTTGAGTTTGTCTGGGGGTGGCAGCGACTGTGTGTTACCACCACCTTGTTGATTTTGTCTGGGGTGACAGCGACGGTGGTGTTACCTGTTGAGTTTTGTCTGGGGTGGGCAAGCGACTTGTGTTACCTTGTTGAGTTTGTCTGGGGTGGCAGCGACTGTGTGTTACCTTGTTGAGTTTGTCTGGGGGGGTGGCAAGCGACTTGTGTATTACCTTGTTTGAGTTGGGGTGGCAGCGACTTTGTATACCCTTGTTGAGTTGTGTCTGGGGGGCACGACTGTGGTGTTACCTTGTTTAGTTTGTCTGGGGGGGCAGCGACTGTGTGTTACCTTGTTGAGTTTGTCTGGTGGTGGGCAGCGGGGGGGGGGGGGGGACTGTGTGTTACCTTGTTGAGTTTGTCTGGGGGTGGCAGCGACTGTGTGTTACCTTGTTGAGTTTGTCTGGGGGTGGCAGCGACTGTGTGTTACCTTGTTGAATTGGTTTGGGGTGACAGCGACTGTGTGTTACCTTGTTGAGTTTGTCTGGGGTGACAGCGACTGTGTGTTACCTTGTTGAGTTTGTCTGGGGTGGCCAACAGCGACTGTGTGTTACCCGTTACCATTGTTGAGTTTGTCTGTGTTGTCAGCACTGTGTGTTACCTTGTTGATTTTGTGGTGAGCAGCGCTGGTGTGTTACCTGGTGAGTTTTGTCTGGTGTGCAGCGACTGTGTGTTACCTTGTTGAAGTTTGTCTGTGGGGTGACAGCGACTGTGTATTACCCCTTGTTGGAGTTTGTCTGGTGTGGCACGCGACTGTGGTGGTTACCTTGTTGATTTGGTCTGGGTGGCAGCGACTGTATTACCTTGTTGAGTTTGTCTGGAGTGGCAGCGACTGTGTTTACCCTTGTTTGAGTGTGTCCTTCGTGACAGGCGCCTGTGTGTTACTTGTTGGGTTTGTCTGGAAGTGGCCAAGCGACTGTGTTTTTACCCATTGTGGAGTTTGGTCCTGGGGTGGCAGCGACTGTATTACAACCATGTTGATTTTGTCTGGGGTTGCAGCGACTTGTATTACCTGTTGAGGTTGTCTGGGGTGGCAGCGACTCTGTGTGTTACCTTTTTTTTGGGTTTTTTTGAGTTTTTGTCTGGGGTGACAGAGACTGTATTTACATTGTTGAGTTTGTCTGGTGTGCAGTGACTGTGTATTACCTTTTGAGTTGTCTGGGGTGACAGCGACTGTGTGTTACCTTGTTGAGTTTGGGGTGGCAGCGACTGTGTGTTACCTTGTTGAGTTTGTCTGGGGGTGACAGCGACTGTGTGTTACCTTGTTGAGTTTGTCTGGGGGTGACAGCGACTGTAGTACCTTGTTGAGTTTGTCTTGGGGGTGACAGCGACTCGTGGTTTACCTTGTTGATTTGTTCTGGGGGGTGGCAGCGACTGTGTATTACCTTGTTGAGTTTGTCTGGGGGTGGCAGCGACTGTGTGTTACCTTGTTGAGTTTGTCTGGGGGTGACAGCGACTGTGTATTACCTTGTTGAGTTGTCTCCCTGGGGGTTTGACAAGCGCCTGTGGTGTTACCTTGTTGAGTTTTTGTCTGGTTGGGCAGCGACTGTGTGTGAACCCTTGTTGAGTTGTCTGGGGTGGGACACGACTGTGTGTTACCTTGTTGAGGTTTGTCTGGGGTGGCGCGACTGTGTTGTTTACCCTTGTGGTTGTCTGGGGTGACACGACTGTGTGTTTACCTTGTTGATTTTGTCGGGGGTTGCAGCGCTGTGTGTTACCTTGTTGAGTTTGTCTGGGGTGCAAGCGACTTTATTTACCTTGTTGGCTTTTGTCTGGGGTGGGCAGCGACTGTGTATTACCTTGTTGAGTTTGTCTGGGGGTGGCAGGGACTGTGTGTACCTTGTTGAGTTTGTCTGGGGGTGGCAGCGACTGTGTGTTACCTTGTTGAGTTTGTCTGGGGGTGGCAGCGCCTGTGTTTACCTTGTTTATTTGTCTGGGGTGACAGCGACTGGTGGTGTTACCACCATTGGTGTTGAGTTTGTCTGGGTGGCAGCGACTGGTGTTACCTTGTGAGTTTGTCTTGGGTGACAGCGACTGTATTACCTTGTGAGTTTGTCTTTAGTGGCAGCGATGTGTGTTCCCTTGTTTAGTTGTCTGGTGTTGGTCAGCGACTGTATTACCTTGTTGATTTGTCTGGGGTGGGCAGCGACTGTATTACCTATTACCATTACCTTGTTTGAGTTTGTCTGGGGTGGGCAGCGACTGTATTACGACCTTGTTGAGTTTTGTCTGGAGTGGCAGCGACTTGTGTGTTACCGTACCCCTTGTTGAGTTTTGTCTGGGTGCAGCGACTGTGCCTGTTACTTGTTGAGTTTGTCTGGGGGTGGACAGCGCTGTGTGGTTCCACCTTGTTGAGTTTCTGGGGGTGACAGCGACGGTGTATTAACCTTGTTGAGTTTGGTCTGGTTGGCAGCGACTGTTGGTGTTACTTTTTGGAGTTTTGTCTGGGGTGGCAGCGACTGTGTGTACCTTGTTGAGTTTGTCTGGTGTGGCAGCGACTGTATTACCTTGTTGAGTTTTTGTCTGGGGTGACAGCGACTGTGTGTTACCTTGTTGAGTTTGTCTGGGGTGACAGCGACTGTATTACCTTGTTGAGTTTGTCTGGGGTGGCAGCGACTGTATTACCTTGTTGAGTTTGTCTGGAGTGGCAGCGACTGTGTGTTACCTTGTTGAGTTTGTCTGGGGTGACAATTCGACTGTGTGTTCCTTGTTGAGTTTGTCGTAGTGGCAGCGACTGTGTGTTTACCTTGTTGAGTTGGGGTGAACAGGCGACTGTGTGGTTTACCTTGGTTGAAGTTTGTCTGGGGGTGACCAGCGACTGTGTGTTCCCTTGTTGAGTTTTGTCTGGGGTGGCAGCGACTGTGTGTTACCTTTTTTGAGTTTTGTCTGGGGTGACACGACTGTGTGGTTCTCTTGTTGAGTTTTTGGTCTGGGGTTGACAGCGACTGTGTGTTACCTACTTGTTGAGTTGTCTGGGTGGCAGCGACTGTGTGTTACCTTGTTGAGTTTGTCTGGGGGTGGCAGCGACTGTGTGTTATACCCTTGTTGAGTTTGTCTGGGGTGGCAGCGACTGTGTGTTACCTTGTTGAGTTGTCTGGGGGGTCATCATGGGGGGGGGGGGCAGCGACTGTATTACCTTGTTGAGTTGTCTGGGGGTGGCGCGACTTGGTGTTACCTTGTTGGAGTTTTGTCTGGGTGGGGCAGCGACTGTATTACCTTGTTGAGTTGTCTGGGGGACAGCACTGTAATTACCACCTTGTGAGTTTTTTCTGGGGTGACAGCGACGTGGTTGTTACCTGTTGAGTTGGGGTGGCAGCGACTGTGTGTTACCTTGTTGAGTTTGTCCTGGGGGTGAACATCGACTTGTGTACCTTGTTGAGTTTGTCTGGGTGGCGCGACTGTATTACTTGTTGAGTTTGTCTGGGGTGGACATCGACTGTATTCCCTTGTTGAGTTTGTCTGGGTGCAGCGACTGTCTGTTTACCCTTGTTGAGTTTTTCTGGGGTGACAGCGCGTATTACCTTTTTGAGTTTTTTTCTGGGGTGACGCACGGTGTGTTTACCTTGTTGAGTTTGGGGTGGCAGCGACTGTGTGTTACCTTGTTGAGTTTGTCTGGGGGTGACAGCGACTGTGTGTTACCTTGTTGAGTTTGTCTGGGGTGGCAGCGACTGTATTACCTTGTTGAGTTTGTCTGGGGTGAGCAGCCGAGGTATACCTTGTTGAGTTTGTCTGGGGTGGCAGCGACTGTCTGTTACCTTGTTGAGTTTGTCTGGGATGGCAGCGATGTGAAGATCAAACAGCAGCTCCGTCTGAACACTCTCAAACTCCTCCCCATTGGCAGCTGGAGAGAGAGATTAACATCATGTCTAGTAATAACTGGGTCCGTTTACACATAAAGGTAGTCTAGGGGAGTTTATGTACGGAGGAGGATGAGGAGGGGTGAAGAAGAGAGTACAAGAATAGTACAGGGGGAACAGAAGGTGGAAGTAGGCAGGGGGGGTAAGGATAAAGCTTAAGGTGAGAGACGGTAAGAGAGAGGAAAAAAAGCAGTGACTGACAAAATCAGGGAGAGCGAAAAAAGAAAGGGGAGTGTGAAGAGCAAATTGTGTAAAATGGAGGATGAGAGGAAGCAAGAATTAGCGCTACGATAAGATGCCCTATGATATTTAAAGTAGAAATTGTGCACCAATATTGAATTTTAATATTATTAAATGAAGTGCCCTTTAATATAGACCACATGGAGAATTCAATACATCAAAGGCTTGCTAAAGTGCCAAAATTCTGCATTTTGACGCGTCCCTCCGTCAAACCCTGTGTCACTTCTAGGAAGACTTCAACACACTAAAGGCCGGCACCGACTGTACGACGGTAGCCATCTCATGCCACGATCGGGTCTACAAATGTGTACGTCATGGGAAAATTCTTAGGTTGTAAACGATTGTCGGATATCTTGGCTCCTTGTTCAGCGTGACAGGGTCTAGGTCTGATGATTCAGTACCACTACGTCTTGGCTCCTTTTCAGCGGACATAGGGTCTAGTCTGCTGATTCATACCACTACTCTTGGCTCCTTGTTTCATCGCGACAGGTCAGGTTCTGCTGATTCAGTACCAACTAGTCTTGGCTCCTTGTTCACAGCGCGACAGGGTCGATGTCTATATTAGGTACCACTAGCGTCTGGCTCCTTGTCGCGTGACATGTCTAGGTCTGCTGATTCAGTACCACTATGTCTTGGCTCTTGTTCCGTGACAGGGTCTATAGTCTGTTGATTCATTACCACTACGTCTTGGCTCCTTGTTCAGCGTGACAGGGTCTAGGTCTGCGGATTCAAGTACCACTAACGTCTTGGTTCCTTGCTCAGCGTGACAGGGTCTGTCTGCTGATCATACCACTACATCTTGCTCCCTTGTTCATCGCGACAGGGTCGAGGTCTGCTGATTCAGTACCAATACGTCTGGCTCCTTGTTCAGCGTGACAGGGTCTAGGTCTGCGATTCATACCAGAAACCGTCTTGGCTCCTTGTTCAGCGTGACAGGGTTCTAGTCTGCTGATTCAGTACCACTACGTCGTGGCTCCTGTTCAGTGCGACAGCGGTCGAGGTCGCTGATCAGTACCACCACACGTCTTGGGCTCCTTTGATCAGCGTGACAGGGTCTAGATTTTGCTGATTCGTCCACTACGTCTGCTCCTTGTTCTGCGACAGGGTCTAGGGGTCTGCTGATTCAAGTACCACTACGTCTTGGCTCCTTGTGCAGTTGAACAGGGTCCAGGTCGCTGATCATAACCACTAAGTCTTGGCTTTGTTTCAGGGCGACAGGGTCTAGGTCTGCTGAATTCAGTATCCACTACGTCTTGGCTCCTTGTTCAGCACGACAGGGTCTAGGTCTGCTTGATTCCAGTACCACTACTTCTTGGCTCTTGTTTCAGCGTGACAGGGTCTAGGTCCTGAGATTTCAGTACCCCTAGTCTTGGCTCCCTTTTTCACGTGACAGGGTCCTAGGTCTGCGCATTCAGTACCCCTACGTCTTGGCTCCTTGTTCAGCGTGACATGGTCTAGTCTGATGATTCAGTACATCTACGTCTTGGCTCCTTGTTTCAGCGCGACAGGGTCTAGGTCTGCTGATTCAGTACCACTATGTCTTGGCTTCCTTGTTCAGCGTGACAGGGTCTAGGTCTGCTGATTCAGTACCACTACGTCTTGGCTCCTTGTTCAGCGTGACAGGGTCTAGGTCTGCTGATTCAGTACCACTACGTCTTGGCTCCTTGTTCAGCGTGACAGGGTCTAGGTCTGCTGATTCAGTACCACTACGTCTTGGCTCCTTGTTCGCGCGACAGGGTCTAGGTCTGCTTGATTCAGTAACCACTATGTCTTGGCTCCTTGTTCAGCGTGACAGGGTCTAGGTCTGCTGATTCAGTACCACTACGTCTTGGCTCCTTGTTCAGCGTGACAGGGTCTAGGTCTGCTGATTCAGTACCACTACGTCTTGGCTCCTTGTTCAGTGCGACAGCATCTAGGTCCGCTGATTCAGTACCACTACGTCTTGGCTCCTTGATCCGCGTGACAGGGTCTAGTTTTGGCTGATTCAGTGCAGTACGCACTACTTCCTTGCTCCCTTGTTCAGCGCGACAGGGTTTCTAGGTTCTGCTGATTCAGTACCACTACGTCTTGCTCCTTGTTCAGTGTGAACAGGGTCCAGGTCTGCGGATTCATACCCCACTACGTCTTGGCTCCTTGTTCTTGCGACAGGGTCTAGGTCTGCTGATTCAGTACCACTACGTCTTGGCTCCTTGTTCAGCACGACAGGTCTAGGTCTTGCGTGATTCATACCACTATTTCTTGGCTCCTTGGTTCAGCGTGACAGGGTCTACGGTCTGCTGATTCAGTACCACTTCGGCTTGGCTCTTGTTCACGCGACAGTGTCTAAGGCCTGCCTGATTCAGTACCACTACTCGTGGCTCCCTGTTCGTTCAGACAGGGTCCAGGTTCTGCTGATTCAGTCCATATGTCTGGCTCCTTGTTCAGCGTGACAGGTCTGGGTCTGCTGATTAGTACCACTACGTCTTGCTCCTTGTTCAGTGCGACAGTGGTTCCTGTCCTGCTGATCAGTACCACTTACGTCCTTGCTCCTGTTCAGTGCGACAGGGTCCTGTCTGCTGATTCAGTACCTACGTCTTGGCTTCCTTGTTTCACGTGGACAGGGTCTAGTCTGCTGATTCAGGTACATACGTCTTTGGCTCCTTGATCAGCGTGACAGGTCTAGGTTCTGTTGCCTGTTCCAGTACCACTACGTCTTGCTCCTTGTTCAGAGCGCGACAGTGTCTGGTCTGCGATTCAGTACCACTATGTCTTGTTGCTCCCCTTGTTCAGCGTGACAGGGTCTAGGTCTGCTGATTCATACCACTTACGTCTTGGCTCCTTGTCAGCGTGACATGGTCCTAGGTCCTGCTGATTCAGTACCACTAACGTCTTGGCTCCTTGTTCAGTGCGCGCATCTAGGTCCGCTGATTCAGTAACCACTACGTTTGGCTCCTTGATCAGCGTGACAGGGTTTCCTAGGTTTGCTGATTCAGTACCCTACGTCTTGGCTCCTTGTTCACGTCGACGGGTCCTAGGTCTGCTGATCAAGTAACCACTACGTCGTGGCTCCTTGTTCAGCGTGACGGGTCTAGGTCTGATGATTCCATACCACTACGTCTTCTTGTCTCCTTGTTTCAGCGTGAACAGGGCTAGGTCTGCTGATTCAGTACGCACTACGTCTTGGCTCCTTGTTCAGCGCGACAGGGTCTAGGTCTGCTGATTCATACCATACGTCTTTGCTCCTGTTCAGCGCGACAGGGTCTAGGTCTGATGATTCATAACCACTACGTGTCTTGGTCCTTGTCAGGCGTGACCGGGTCTCGTCTGCTGATGTCATACCACTACGTCTTGGCTCCTTGTTCAGCGTGACAGGGTCTAGGTCTGCTGATTCAGTACCACTACGTCTTGGCTCCTTGTTCAGCGTGACAGGGTCCTAGTCTGCTGATTCAGTCACACACGTCTTGGCTCCTTGATCAGCGTGACAGGGTCGAGTCCTGCTGATTCAGTAACCACTACATCTTGCTCCTTGTTCATTCAGCGCGACAGGGTCCTAGTCCTTGCTGATTCAGTAAACCACTTTACGTCTTGCTCCTTGTTCAGCGTGACAGTCAGGTCTCTGATTCATACCACTACGTCTTGGCTCCTTGTTCAGCGTGACAGGGGTTAGTCTGCTGATTCAGTACCACACGTCCTTGTCTCCGTTGTTTCAGCGCGACAGCTCTAGTCCTCTGATTCAGTAAACCACTACTTCTGGCTCCTTGATCACGTGACGGGCTAGTTTTTGCTGATTCATACCACTACGTCTTGGCTCCTTTTCAGTGCGACCGGGTCTAGGTCTGCGATCAGTACCACTACGTCTTGGCTTCCTTGTTCATGTGACAGGGTCCAGTTCTGCTGATTCAGTACCACTACTCTTGGCTCCTTGTTCAGTGCGACAGGGTCTTAGGTCTGCTGATTTCAGTACCCTACTTCTTGGCTCGTTGTTCAGCACGACGGTCTAGGTCTGCCTGATTCAGTACCACTACTTCGTGGCTCCTTGTTCCGTGAACAGGTCTAGGTCTGATGATTTCATTACCCTACGTCTGGCTCCTTGTTCAGCGTGCAGGGTCTAGGTCTGCTGATTCAGTACCACTACTCTTTTTGGCTCCTTTGGCTCCTTGTTTCCGCGTGACAGGGTCTAGGTCTGAATGGATTCGTACCACAACCGTCTTGCTCCTTGGGTTCAGCGACGACAGGGTCTAGGTCTGCTGATTCATCAGTACCACTCTGTATTTGCTCCTTGTTCAGCGTGACAAGGGTCTAGGTCTGCTGATTACGTACCACTAACGTCTTGGCTCCTTGTTCATCGTGACAGGGTCTAGGTCTGGGGGGGGCCCCGCTGATTCAAGTACCATACGTCTTGCTACTTGATCAGCGTTACAAGGGTCTAGGTTCGGCTGAGTCAGTAACCACTACGTCTTGGCTCCTTGTTCAGCGCGACAGGTGGTCTAGGTCTGCTGATTCATTACCACTTGTCTTGGCTCCTTGTTCGCGTGACCGGGTTCTAGGTCTGCTGATCATACCACTACGTCTTGGCTCCTTGGTTCAGCGCGACGGGGTCTAGGTCTGCTGATTCAGTACCACTACGTCTTTGGCTCCTGTTCAGTGCGACACATCTAGGTTCCGCTGATTCAGTACCCCCTACGTCTTGGCTCTTGATCAGCGTGACAGGGTCTAGTTTCTGATTCAGTACCACTACGGCTTGGGGCTCCTGGTTCAGCGCGACAGGTCTAGGTTGCTATTCAGTACCACTACGTCTTGGCCCTTGTTCATGTGACAGGGTCCCGGTCTGCTATTCAGTACCCCACTATGGTCTTTTGGGGGCTCCTTGTTTCAGTGCGACAGGGTCTAGGTCTGCTGATTCAGTAACCACTACGTCTGGCTGGCTCCGGTTCATCACGCAGGGTCTAGGTCTGCTGTTCAGTACCACTACGTCTTGGCTCCTTGTCATCGTGACAGGTCTTGTTGCTGATTCATTACCACTAACTACGTCTTGGCTCCTTGTTCAGTCGCGACAGGGTCTAGGTCTGTGTGCTGATTCATCACCACTACTTCTTGGCTCCTTGTTCAGTGCGACAGTGGTCCAGGTCCTGCTTATTCATTACCACTATGTCTTGGCTCCTTGTTCAATCGTGACGGGTCTGGGTCTGCTGATCAGTACCACTACGTCTTGGCTCCGTGTTCAGTGCGACAGGGTCCAGGTCCTGCTGATTCAGTACACTACGTCTTGGCTCCCTTGTTCAGTGGACAGGGTCCATGTCTGTGATTCAGTACCACTAACGTCTTGGCTCTTGTTCAGCGTGACAGGTTCTAGGTCTTCTGATTCAGTACCACTACGTCTTGTGCTTCCTTGATCAACGTGCACGGGGTCTAGTCCTGCTGATTCATACCACTAACGTCTTGGGCCTCCTTTTCAGCGCGACAGGTCTAGTTCTGCTGATTCAGGTACCACTATGTCTTGGCTCCTTGTTCAGCGTGAACAGGGTCTAGGTCTGGCTGATTCAGTACCACTACTCTTGGCTCCTTGTTGCGCGTGACAGGGTCTGGTCTGCTGATTCAGTACCACTACGTCTTGGCGTCTTGTTCATTCGACGAGCACTAGGTTCCGCTGATTCAGTACCACCCTACTACTTGGCTCCTTGAATCCGCGTGACAGGGTCTAGGTTTGCGGATTCAAGTACCACTACGTCTTGGCTCCTTGTCAGCGCGACAGGGTCCTAGGTCTCTGATTCAGTACCACCCATGTCTTGGCTCCTTGTTCTTGTGACAGGGTGCCGGTCTGCTGATTCAGTCTACTACGTCTTGCCTCCTTGTTCAGTGCGACAGGGTCTAGGTCTGCTGATTCAGTACCACTACGTCTTGGCTCCTTGTTCAGCAAACACAGGGTCTAGGTCTGCTGATTCATTAAAACCACTACTACGTCTTGGCTCCTTGTTCACTGACGGGTCTAGGTCGCTGATTCAGTACCACTCACGTCTTGGCTCCTTGTTCATCGTACAGGGTTCTAGGTCGCTTGATTCATACCCACACTGTCTTGGCTTCCTTGGTTCACGTGACGGGTCTAGGTCTGCTGAGTCAGTTGTTAAAACAAAAAACCCACTAACGTCTTGCTCCTTGTTCAGCGCGACAGGGTCTAGGTCTGCTGATTCAGTACCACTACGTCTTGGCTCCTTGTTCAGTGCGACAGGGTCCAGGTCTGCTGATTCAGTACCACTACGTCTTGGCTCCTTGTTCAGCGTGACAGGGTCTGGGTCTGCTGATTCAGTACCACTACGTCTTGCTCCGTTTCAGTGGCGACAGGGTCCAGTCTGCTGGATTTCAGTACCATACGTCTTGGCTCCTTTGTTCATGGCGACAGGGTCCAGGTACTGCTAATTCAGTACCACTATGTCCTTGGCTCCTGTCATGCGACAAGGGTCGCAGGTCTGCTGAATTCCGTACCACTACGTCTTGGCTCCTTGTTCAGCGCACAGGTCTAGGTCTGCTGATCATTATCCACACGTCTTGGCTCCTTGTTATTCAGCGCTACAGGGCTAAAGGTCTGCTGTATTCAGTACCATTACTCTTGGCTCCTTGTTCAGCGCGACAGGTCTAGGTCGGCTGAGTCAGTACCACTTACGTCTTGGCTCCCTTTGTTCATGCGACAGGTCTGTTTTCCCCCCTGCTGTTCAGTACCACTACGTGTGGTCGCAGGCTCTGACAAAGTTCTGGCAGTGTCAGAAACGTTGATCCTTTATCACAGTGGTCTGAGTCCAGATCACTTTCTGAGTCAAAATGCAAGCCGAGATCTACCCCTCAGATGTTATTTTATTTTAACATGACTTTAACCTATGCAGCATTAACCAATTAAAAGCAGTTCTGTAGTAATGAGGTTTGTGCAGTAGACTATAGGCCCAATACATCATCACTGCATATCGGCTTTGATTGAACTGTCCTGACAATGTTGTTATTCTCTGATCATTTACAAATTATATTTTATAATATGTAGGTACAGTTGAAGTCGGAAGTTTACATACACTTTAGGTTGGAGTCATTAAAACTTGTTTTTCAACCACTCCACACGTTTCTTGTTAACAAACTATAGTTTTGGTAAGTCGGTTAGGACATCTACTTTGTGTATATCAGCGGTTAGGGCCCAGCTGTGTATATCAGCGGTTAGGGCCCAGCTGTGTATATCAGCGGTTAGGGCCCAGCTGTGTATATCAGCGGTTAGGGCCCAGCTGTGTATATCAGCGGTTAGGGCCCAGCTGTGTATATCAGTGGTTAGGGCCCAGCTGTGTATATCAGCGGTTAGGGCCCAGCTGTGTCTATCAGCGATTAGGGCCAGCCTGTGTATTCACCGCGGTTAAGGGCCCAGCTGTGTAATCTTCCAGCGGTTAGGGCCCACTGTGTATATCGCGGTTAGGGCCCATCTGTGTGTCTCTGGGCCCAGCTGTGTCTCTCCGCGGTTAGGGCCTCAGCTGTGTATATCAGCGGTTTTGGGCCCAGCTGTGTATAAAAAAATCACCAGCGGTTAGGGCCACTGTGTATATCAGTATCACGTAGGGCCCAGCTGTGTAATATCAGCGGTTTAGTGCCCAGCTGTGTATGATCGCGGTTAGGGCCCAGCTGTGTATATCACGGTTAGGGCCCCAGCTGTGTATAGTCCAGCGTTAGGGCCCAGCTGGTATATCAGCGGTTAGGTCCCGCTGTGTATATCACGGTAGGGCCCATCTTGTGGATAATAAGCGGTTAGGGCCAGCTGTGGTATTCAGCGGTTAGGGCCCACTGTGGTATATCAGCGTTCGGGCCCATCGGTGAATATCAGCGTTTTGGGCTCAGCTGTGGTGTCTCAGCGTTTAGGCCGCAGCTGTGTATATCAGCGGTTAGGGCCCAGGGTGTATATCAGCGATTAGGTCCCAGCTTGTGTATTATCATCGTATAGGGCCCAGCCGTGTATATAGCGGTTAAGGGCTCAGCTGTGTGTCTCGCGTTAGGGCCCAGCTGTGTATATCAGCGGTTAGGGCCCAGCTGTGTATATCAGCGGTTAGGGCCCAGCTGTGTATATCAGCGGTTAGGGCCCAGCTTTGTTATCACGATTAGGGCCCATCTGTGTATATCAGCGGTTAGGGCCCAGCTGTGTATATCAGCGGTTAGGGCCCAGCTGTGTATAGCCAGCGGTTTAGGACCCAGCTGTGTCTCTCACGCGGTTAGGGCCAGCGGTGTATATCACGGTTAGGGGCCCCGCTGGTGATCAGCGGGTTAGGGCCCAGCTGTGTATCTCAGCGGTTAGGGATGTTGTCTTGGTAACTCACACAGAGGGGTAGAACGCTGGGGACTTAGATCACCCTTTTCCATAATCTCTCCCTCCTTCTCTCCCTCCTCCTCTCCCTCCTCCTCTCCCTCCTCCTCCTCCTCTTCCGCGTGGCTGATGAAGATGTCCTTGATGGCAATCAGTTCTTTCTTCCTCTCCTCCTGATCCTTCCTCTTCTAGGGAGGAGAAGAACGACTGGACCTGAGAGGAGAGAAGAGGAGAGGAGAGAGAGGAGTTGGGTTGGGGGGGGTGGGGGTAGATCAGCTTTAATATTGCAGATAGATTTTAACTTCCATCAATGTAATTGTCTGCATCACTTCCAATCCCCATACAGTGGGGGAAAAAAGTATTTAGTCAGCCACCAATTGTGCAAGTTCTCCCACTTAAAAAGATGAGAGAGGCCTGTAATTTTCATCATAGGTACACGTCAACTATGACAGACAAAATGAGAAAAAAAAATCTCCAGAAAATCACATTGTAGGATTTTTAATGAATTTATTTGCAAATTATGGTGGAAAATAAGTATTTGGTCAATAACAAAAGTTTCTCAATACTTTGTTATATACCCTTTGTTGGCAATGACACAGGTCAAACGTTTTCTGTAAGTCTTCACAAGGTTTTCACACACTGTTGCTGGTATTTTGGCCCATTCCTCCATGCAGATCTCCTCTAGAGCAGTGATGTTTTGGGGCTGTCGCTGGGCAACACGGACTTTCAACTCCCTCCAAAGATTTTCTATGGGGTTGACATCTGGAGACTGGCTAGGCCACTCCAGGACCTTGAAATGCTTCTTACGAAGCCACTCCTTCGTTGCCCGGGCGGTGTGTTTGGGATCATTGTCATGCTGAAAGACCTAGCCACGTTTCATCTTCAATGCCCTTGCTGATGGAAGGAGGTTTTCACTCAAAATCTCACGATACATGGCCCCATTCATTCTTTCCTTTACAACGGATCAGTCGTCCTGGTCCCTTTGCAGAAAAACAGCCCCAAAGCATGATGTTTCCACCCCCATGCTTCACAGTAGGTATGGTGTTCTTTGGATGCAACTCAGCATTCTTTGTCCTCCAAACACGACGAGTTGAGTTTTTACCAAAAAGTTCTATTTTGGTTTCATCTGACCATATGACATTCTCCCAATCCTCTTCTGGATCATCCAAATGCACTCTAGCAAACTTCAGACAGGCCTGGACATGTACTGGCTTAAGCAGGGGGACACGTCTGGCACTGCAGGATTTGAGTCCCTGGCGGCGTAGTGTGTTACTGATGGTAGGCTTTGTTACTTTGGTCCCAGCTCTCTGCAGGTCATTCACTAGGTCCCCCCGTGTGGTTCTGGGATTTTTGCTCACCGTTCTTGTGATCATTTTGACCCCACGGGGTGAGATCTTGCGTGGAGCCCCAGATCGAGGGAGATTATCAGTGGTCTTGTATGTCTTTCCATTTCCTAATAATTGCTCCCACAGTTGATTTCTTCAAACCAAGCTGCTTACCTATTGCAGATTCAGTCTTCCCAGCCATGTGCAGGTCTACAATTTTGTTTCTGGTGTCCTTTGACAGCTCTTTTGGTCTTGGCCATAGTGGAGTTTGGAGTGTGACTGTTTGAGGTTGTGGACAGGTGTCTTTTATACTGATAACAAGTTCAAACAGGTGCCATTAATACAGGTAACGAGTGGAGGACAGAGGAGCCTCTTAAAGAAGAAGTTACAGGTCTGTGAGAGCCAGAAATCTTGCTTGTTTGTAGATGACCAAATACATATTATCCACCATAATTTGCAAATAAATTCATTAAAAATCCTACAATGTGATTTTCTGGATTTTTTTTTCTCAATTTGTCTGTCATAGTTGACGTGTATCTATGATGAAAATTACAGGCCTCTCTCATCTTTTTAAGTGGGAGAACTTGCACAATTGGTGGCTGACTAAATACTTTTTTTCCCCACTGTATGCTTTTTTACAAAATCTATATATTTTTTTACATACACATACATATATTTACATGTACATTTACGTCATTTAGCAGACGCTCTTATCCAGAGCGACTTACAAATTGGTGCATTCACCTTACAGCCAGTGGGATAACCACTTTACAATGTTTTTTTATAATTAATTTTTTTATGTTTTGTAATTTTTTTGTAAAAAAATTGTGATTTTTTTTTTTTTAGAGTATGTTTTTAATTTTCATTTGTTATATATATATATATTGTTGTTGTTTTTTGTTGTTGTTGTTTATTTATTTTTGTGTATTTTTTATTATTTTTATTATTATTATTATTATTATTATTTTTATATTTTTGTGGGGGTGGGGTAGGGGGGGGGTAGAAGGATTACTTTATCCTATCCCAGGTATTCCTTAAAGAGGTGGGGTTTCAAGTGTCTCCGGAAGGTGGTCAGTGACTCCGCTGTCCTGGCGTCGTGAGGGAGCTTGTTCCACCATTGGGGTGCCAGAGCAGCGAACAGTTTTGACTGGGCTGAGCGGGAACTATGCTTCCGCAGAGGAAGGGGAGCCAGCAGGCCAGAGGTGGATGAACGCAATGCCATATCCTTTTTTTATATATATTCCCCTTTATTACTTTCCAACCCCACCACCCCTTCCCGAATTGGAGTAAACTAGTGAACAACAATGCTTAGGCCTCTACTTCCAGCTTATACATACTATATACATTTTACGGACACAGTCAATTTTACAATAATTCTATTTTGTTTATTTTTACTCCTGAACTTCCTCTACCCTCAACCTCTCCGATCATTTTCATGATGTCCATCCGGTTTGCTTCTATATGCCATATCTTTCTAACTGTGCTCTTTCACAAAAGCTCTCAACCTATAACCTATATACTTATTATGGACACAGTATGCTTTACATGAGTTATCTTGTTGTTATTAGTTGTTGTTAGTTGTCATTAGTCCCATCCTTCAGCTCCTCCCATCTATATCTTAACACCATCCATATTGGATTTCTATTTGCCACATATTTTTCAACTGTACTGTTTTACAAAAGTTCTGAACCTTTCTATTCTCATTGTTTCTACAGATTGTGAATTGAAAATAAACATTTTTGCTAAAATATTATTATATTATTGATCGATTGACTATGACTTTTCAGATCACCCAGTAATGCTATGTGCAGGGTTAGCTCCAGGTAAATATTGCAATCCTTTAGCCATTCCTGGACCTGTGTCCAAAAACAAACTACAAATGGACAGTACCAAAACAAATGATCTAATGATTCTGTCTCTTCGCAGCAAAATCTGCAGAGCTGGGAAGATTGTATCCCCCATATAAATAACATTATATTGGTAGCAAGAATTTTATAAAATAATTTAAATTGAAAGATTCTAAGTTTTGAATCCGGTGTCGTTTTGCGTATCAGTTCATAAACACTATGCCATGGGATCGGTACGTCAAAGATCTCTTCCCAACTATTTTGCAATCTATATGGGACGGCTGTCAATCCTTTGGTCCTTAAATTAAACTGATATACTTTTTTATTTATCACAGTTTTCTTTAACCAATTAATGTTATTTAACGCGGCCGACAGACAAGTTCCTTACTTTTTCCCCCTTCCACTTTCCTCTTCATTTTTGCAGTAATGCTGTAATTATTTGGTTGTAATATTTGGTGGTAATTTTGGGTAGAGCAGACATTTCCAGATGTTGTTGTTAGCTGCATGTGTGGTGTGTGTGTGTGTGTGGTGTGTGTGTGTGTGTGTGTGTTACCTGAGCCTCACTCT